TGGGCATAGACATGGATTACTGTGATATTGAATGGCCTGCCTTGGAAATGCACCAAGATCATTCTGTCATTTTGGGGACCACACCCAAGCATTGCAGTTTTGACTCTTTTGTTGACTATGAAGATTACTCCATTTTTCCTAAGGGATTCTTGTCCACAGTAGCAGGTCTAATGGTCATCTGAATTAAATTCCCCTGTTCCTGTCCATTTTAATTAACTGATTGCCAAGATGTGGATGTTCACTCTTGCCATCTCCTGCGTGACAACATCCAATTTACCTAGATTCATGAACCCAACATTCCAGGTTCTATGCAACATTGTTCTTTACAGCATCAGACTTTACTTTCACCACCAGAAACATCCACAACTGAGCATTTTTTCTGCTTTGGCCCAGCCACTTCATTCCTTCTGGAGCTATTTGTAATTGTCCTCTGCTCTTTCCTAGTAGCATATAGGGCACCTTACAACCAGGGATGGGGGCGGGGCGTGCATATCTTTTTGGCTTTTCATACTGTTCATGGGGTTCTTCACAAAAGAATATTGGAGTGGATTGCCATTCCTTCTCCAGCGGACCATATTTTGTCAGAACTCTTCACTATGACCCATCCTTCTTGGGTGGCCCTACATGGCATGGTTCATAGCTTCATTGAGTTACACAAGGCCCTTTGCCACAGTAGAAACTGAAGAGATTAAGAAGAGCTGGGAAGTATACACAGAATAACTACACAAGAAAGGTCATAATAACCTAAATAACCATGATGGTGTGGGCACTCACCTAGAGCCAGACATCCTGGAATGAGAAGTTAGGCAGGCCTTAGGAAGCATCACTACAAACAAAGCTAGTGGAGGTGATGAAATTCCAGCTGAACTATTTAAAATCCTAAAATATTATACTGTTCAAGTGCTGCATTCATTATGTCAGCAAAATTGGAAAACTCAGCAGTGGCCACAGGACTGGAAAATGTCAGTTTTCATTCCAATGTCAAAGAGCAATGCCAAAGAATGTTCAAACTACTGTACAATTGTGTTCATGTCACATGCTAGCAAGGTTATCCTCAAAATCTCTAAGTTTTAGCAACCAAGAACTTCCGGATGTACAAGCTGGGTTTAGAAAGGGTAGAGGAACCAGAGATCAAATTACCAACATTTGTTGGATCATAGAGAAAACAAGAGAATTCCAGAAAGACATCTGCTTCATTGACTACACTAAAGCCTTTGACTGTGTGGATCACAACAAACTGTGGAAAATTCTTAAAGAGATGGGAGTAACAGACCACCTTACCTGTCTCCTGAGAAACCTGTATGGGAGTCAAGAAGCAATAGAACCAGAGATGGAACACCTGATTGGTTCCAAATTGGGAAAGGAGTATAATAAGGCTGTATATTGTCACTCTGCTTATTTAACTTATATGCAGAGTCAGTCAGTTCATTCGCTCAGTCGTGTCTGACTCGTTGAGACCCCATGGACTGCAGCACACCAGGCTTCCCTGGTGAAGTGCCGGGCTGAGTGAATCACAAGCTGGAATCAAGATTGCTGGGAGAAATATCGACAGCTTATGATATGCAGATGATATGCAACAGATATGCAGATGATACCACTCTAATGGTAGAAATTGAAAAGTAACTAAAGAACCTCTTGATGAGGGTGAAAGAAGACAGTGAAAAAGCTGGCTTGAAACTCAACATTCAAAAAACTATAGGATCATGGCATCTGCTCTCGTCACTTCATGGCAAATAGAAGGGGAAAAAGTGGAAGCAGTGACAGATTTTCTTGGGCTTCAAAATTAACATGGATGGTGACTGCAGCCACGAAATTAAAAGATGCTTGCTCCTTGGAAGGAGAGCTGTGACAAACTTAGACACAGTATTAAAAAGCAAAGATATCACTTTGCCACAAAGGTCCGTATAATCCAAGCTATGGTTTTTCAAGTAGTCATGTATGGATGTGAGAGTTGGACCATAAACAAAGCTGAGTACCAAAGAACTGATGCTTTCAAATTGTGCTGGAGAAGACTTTTGAGAGTTTCTTAGACTGCAAAGAGATCAAACAAGTTGACCCTGAATATTTACTAGAAGGTCTGATGCTGAAGCTGAAGCTTGAATACTTTGGCCACCTGATGTGAGGAACTGACTCATTGGAAAAGATCCTGATGCTGGGAAAGATTGAAAGTAAAAGGAGAGGGGGCAGCAGAAGATGAGATGGTTAGATAGCATCACTGACTCAATGGACATGAATTTGAGCAAATGCTGGAGATAGTGGAGAACAGAAGAGCCTGGCATGACAGTCCATGGAGTCGTAAAGAGTCAGGCACGACTTAGCAACTGAACAACAACAAATGGCTGACTCATGTTGTTGTATGGCAGAAACCAGCACAACATCATAAAACAATTATCATCCAATTAAAAATAAGTTGTTTAAAAAGGCCAGCTATCCTTGCTTCACAGTCCGGATGTTTTTGTTGTTGTTGTTGTTTAGTCACTAAGTCGTGTCCGACTTTCTTTGCAACCCAGTGAACTGTAGCCTGCCAAGCTCCTCTCTCCATGAGATTTCCCAGGCAAGAATACTGGAGTGGGTTGCCCTTTCCTTCTCCAGGGCATCTTCCCAACCCAGGGATTGAACCCTCATCTCCTGCCTTGCAGGCAGATTCTTAACCGCTGAGCCACCCAGGAAGCCCCACTGTCCTGATACTAAGGCCAACAACGTTATATGCCTCGGGCTCTAGCAGTGTTCTGCAGGTAAAAGGAGGTGCACAATACATCCTTTTTGAAAGAATGATAAGAGTTCCTATCACAACTATAGAATTATAGAGTTGGAAAGTCTTTAGAGAACAATGAATTTCAAACTTCATGGTCATAGCTCACAGCAGGAAAGACATTTTCCTTTGTGATCCATTACCTGTCTGTGTGAAACAAGTTTTTTATAAAGTATGACATATCTTCAAATGCATGATACACTCTTATATCTCCTATTTTTCTTAATCTATTGTATTTCTTTTTGAGAGATGGTAATTAAATTTTTATTCAGAACAACTATAATGGCTGACTAAAATTAAATTAATCCCCAAACTATTTGCTTCAATTGGAAATTAATAGTAGTAGATTTGGAAGTAGGCACAAAAAGGTGAAAGCCTTAGCATTCTGACAACAGATAAAAGGCATAAAAGTGATCAGTGTACTCTCAGAATAATCTAGAGTGGAATATTTACAGTTAATGCACAGAAGAAGAAAAAAAACACATAAGCCCAAATCACACAAATTAAAATTCACTTAATTACATAGTTGTAAGCACTTTTCTAGACAAAATTTCACCATTCTTAAAGTAGGAGTGTTCAAAAATATTTCTTTATATAAGCTAAAAGGAAGTTAAAGATGACCCAATTGCCCTGGTTAAGAAATCATATAATAATCAGTCTATTTTCAAAACCCAGAGAAACCCAGAAACTCTGCCAATAAAATTAAAGGGACAAAAACCAAGATTGGCCAAAGCTGGCAACCAGTTGTACAGGAAGACAGATCACTCCTCGTTTCACCGTTAAAAGCCATTGCATTGGGGATTGATACTAGGTCCTTTCCATACTCTATTAGCCTGGATCCTGGCCTTTGCAGTGTCAATTTCTGTTTGTTGGGTTCTGTGGAATTTCCCTGAATGCTGTGGTCCAGTCAGCACTTACGTCAATATGATGGGAATTGCCTCCAGTTTGAAGACACGCTTCCTGGCCTGAGGGTATAATTTGTACACTCTTCTTTAGCTTCAGGGACAAATGCACTCTGGTCAAGTATATCCAGAACGGTTACAGGGATAATGTGACTTTTAACAGAGGCCATGTAAGAGTTTTGACAATTCAAGGTTAACAACTGAAGCCTGCTCATTTTGACCCAAATTTTCTAACTCTGTGACATGTAGGGGATCCACTGGGGCTGGATGAAGTTTCCATTGACAGAGTTGTCACTGAAGGAATTACTGAGGAACAGAGAACAGGCACTGGGAAACTTGTGAGTGTATTTAGCAAACTTCTGGGCCATAAAATCTCCTCATAAGGCCCTCAAAGATTTTATCCAGTTGTATGGACAAGAGCTGTATGGTCTAACAGTTTTCTGAAATCATCATAGAACTCAAGATGTTTTAATAAACTAGATCCTGAGAAATTAACTTTCGGGGGTAGGCGGGGTAGGGTAAGGGTACATGGATATTTCAAGGGTTTGCATTCACTATGACCATACTTAACCATCATCCCCTTTTCCTAGACTCTTTTTGGACTTCTAAATCAGTTTTAATCAGGAGAGACCGTGATCTCTGTCTCATGATAAGCTGAAAGAAAGCTTAACCCTTCAGAGTGTCCGCCCCCGCCACCCAGAACTTCCACTCCCTACTGCCCAGAGAGATTGGGACAGTGACCAGCAGCCAGGAGGGGCCGGGCAGCTTTTCAAGAATGGGGTGCAGTGATTTCACCCTTCCATCTCCTTTTAAAATGCTGGTCATTAGCTTCTAAACTGATATGCATCACAGTAACCTAACCGGCTGTGTCCAAAATCATCACGTGCACTGACTGCAGCCATGAAATTAAAAGATCCTTGCTCCTTGGAAGAAAAGCTGTGATAAACTTAGACAGCCTATTAGAAAGCAAAGACATTACTTTGCTGACAAAGGTCTGTCTAGTCAAGTGATGTGAAAGTGAAAGTCGCTCAGTCCTGTCCGACTCTTTGCAACCCAATGCTTTATACAGTCCATGGAATTCTCCAGGCCAGAATACTGGAGTGGGTAGCCTTTCCCTTCTCCAGGGGATCTTCCCAACCCAGGGATCAGGTTCTTCCGCAAGCCGGCTCTCAGTGGCCCCGCCCCGGGGGAAACCAAGGTGACCGGGGCGTGGCCTCTTCCCCTTGTCCTCGCCCATCCTCCTCCAGGTCCGCCCTGCGTGCGTTGTAGCGACGGCAGAGGGCGCTGCGGCGTGCGCCTGCGCCTTGGGGACCGGCGAGATGCCCCGCCTCTTCGTGAGCTCATCACCCCGCGTCGCGGTCGCGTGGAACCTGGCGTCAGCGGAGCCGCGGGGCAGTGCAGCCGGACAGTGAGGCGGTGAGTTGGTTCGCAAAGCTGTTGAGGATGGCACTGATCGGTGCCGATAACGGTCCAGGCTGGAGGGCGGGTGAGCGAGAGTGGCCCAAGGCTTCCTCTAGGAGGGTTTGCTCAGGAATGCCCCACGCCGCAGGGCCTGAGGCTGGTGGCTTCCGTGACTCCGTTTACTCTGGCTGCCTCTCGGTGTGTGGGGCCTGAGGGGAGAGGGTAGGTGGCCTCATCTTGCATCCTGAGGATGTTCTGTTCAGCCTCGAGGTTAGGGCTGGTGTCAGTGTCGATAGACAGAACTGTCTTAACCGAAGTTTTCCAGTGGTAGGCCACGCTGTCTTTTTCGGTAGCGAGCTGGACAGGTAGAGGCACAGGCTGAGTTATCTTTACTTCAAGTACCACGTAGTATTGCGGGTTACTGACCTCCCTGAGTACTTTAATAGGGGCATGTGTAGTGTTCTTTGGAAACATTGAGGAAGCAATGAATTCTGCCTGGGAGATGAGAGGAGAGTTCTCTAAAGAAGGAAGGTGAGAAAAGAGGATTTTGGGGTCCTCTTAACGCTGAAGTTATTGTAGGATAAGAAATTGATGTAAAAGATAGTGTAACCTATATTATAGCTTGTATCCACCTTCTCCTGTCAGACTAACCTTGGGGGAGGTTTGTTAACTTCTCTTGAAGTCTCACTTTCCTTATGAGGAACGTAGAGATTATAATAAGAATATCTATTAAATGAGATGAGAGGGTTCAGTGAGCTAACCTACATGTAATACGTAAAACAGGGTACATCATGGTACCCTGACTCATGGTACATCATCAAACATACATTCGTTGATAGAAGCACACTTCTATCTTGAGGAGCCTGGCTTCTTGGAAGTTGACTTCTTGCAAACCTTCCTACTGTTGTTTCTCCTTGTTGCGGGGAATTGTTTCTGTTGCAGGGATGTGAGGCAGGATTTGGAAGTGCAGACGGTTGGTGCCCAAGAGAGTGTGAATACTGTTTACTCCAGCGAAACTGGCATGACCTCCTGCCTGTCTTTGCTACCCTTGCCAAGACACTGTTCTTGGGTCACAAATGAATTAAGCAGTACCACCTTGACTGAGATCTTCACAGGCAAAGGTTATTTAGAAATTGTTTTTTCTGTTATCCTTGGAAAACCTTCACAGTAGTCTTTTTGAGTTTGCAAATTTAAAGCAAATAACCTGAACATGGATGCCTTAGATGTATGGTCTCCTCTGTCCATGGATAGAATTGAGGGGGCCATGAACTTGGATGAGAAGAAAAATTGCATCCTTATGTTCTCAAACTTCTAACTGAAATTTAGCATTTCCTTCAATTATAAATATAGTCAGCAAACCAAGTATTAACAGGGTGACTTTGTCACCAATACAAGTCACACGTATTTTCGTATCTTAGGATATTGTATAAGTTCATCATAACTTTGAAATTATGGTAGTTGTTAGATTTGCTGCTGAATCTTGTTATATAATGTGTAAATAAAGAACCACATATGCTATCACAAAATCTAATTTTTGTATTTGGTAAAATATTATTTCTGTATACAGTTGATCCTTACTATTCTCAGGCTCTGTATTTCCAAATTCATCTACATTCTAAAATTTATTTGTAGCCCCAAAATTGTTTGCAGCGCTTTGTGATCTTGGACATGTGTGAGGTGGTGAAAATTTTGAGTGAACTGACACACATTCTTAGCTACAGTTGAACAAGGAAGCACTCTGCTTTCTTGTTTCAGTTATCATGCTGTAAACAGGTGTCGTTTTTTCAATGTTAGTGTTATGATTTTTGTATTTTTGTGGTTTTATTGGTGACGTCACTGTTTAAAATAGCCCTCCAAGCACAGTAGTAAAGCTCTCTTAGTGTTCCTAAGTCCAGGAAGACTGTGATGTGTCTTACAGAGAAAACACATCTGTAGATAAACATCATATAGGCGTGAATTATGTTGCTGTTAGCAGTGAGTTCAATATTAATAAATCGCCAATGTAAAATAAGGTGTCTTTAAACAGAAACACGCATAAAATAAAGTTACTTATTCATCAGTTGGCCCAAATTTACCAGAGTCTTGCAGGAACCTAATATAGTGTCTCCCCCAGAAGTAGTGGATCAGTGTTCACTAACTCGGTGTTCAGTGACTTTATGGAACTTAACTGCCTGGAATAATGAGAATGGACTATACTTGGTTTCCTTTCTAATCCTATGTATTTTATGTATTTAAAAACATCCTGAAAAGGGGTTTATAGGCTTTACAAAGCTACCTGGGGCGGCGGGGGTCAGGGATGGGCACGGAGGATTCTATAGCACACACACAAAAGTTAAGAAGCCTTATTATAGCTTTTGGGAGACATGTAGTCTCCCTCTGGCTCACACCCTCATTTACGCTCCTGCTGGCTCTTATATGCATTTTTGGCTGAGATCCCTGCATGGACTGTAAGAACTTTGCTCCCCCATATTTGCTTGTTGAGTTTTTAATAAAATAATATTTTAAATTAAAAGATCCTGTGGTTTTATCTCTTGGAAAAGCAGCAAGGAGGGAGACGGGATCCTCTCTGTAGTCAGCTTAAGGAGAAGAAAATATGAGAGGTGGTAGGTATTAGTTGAGAAGGAAGACCATGCCACCTGGTAGGGCTTGTGAACGGGGCCTCTGGGACTGATCTATAGAAAAGTGTCAGGTCAACCCTGGCCAAGAGTTGCCTTACAGTCTTGATCCAGGGGAACCTTCTATAGCCCTCTGTCCTGATGGCCTCCTCTTACTGAAGCCCTCCTGTTGTTTCCACAGAGCTGTCTGGCCTTTAGCCCTTCATCCTTGGTTAAGGAGATGACCAACCAGGTAAGGCCTATGGAAAGGAAGAGTGCCAGTTGGTCTCTTTGGGGGTTCAAGCCCAATACATCGTCTGGGTTTGTATTCAGAAAACTAGCATCTGATTCCTGCTCTGCTTGTGAAGAGGAGGGTATCCTGGGCACCTAGTCACCAGAGGGTTAGGTGGCACCAGTAAAAGGCACAACACTGAGAGGAGGAGGATTTTATCTCAGTCTGTACCTCAGTTTACAAAGGGATGGAGGAAGCTTAAAAGAATTTGTACACAAAAACGAGACAGAAAAATTAGAAAGGGAGGAACATGTCTTTGTGATAAAATTAGGGACAGACTTAACAAGTTATTATGCAGGCTGTGTGGTTTTATACAACTACAAAAATTAAGCTGCAAACTGGACTCTGAGCTTCCTGGTGCTCAGAGCAGGAAAAAGCACATAATTTATTATTCTTTTTGGGTGGGTGGAAGTAGAAGAGACTCTAGCTTCTTTAAGAACTGATTGTTTTCTTTAAGAGACTATAGTTTCTTTAAGAACTAACACTACAGACCTTGCATGAGCTCACAGGCAGTCAGGCCACAGCAAGGGCGGTACCTAACACTGGTGATTATATCTGCTGGGGCACATGGTGGTGAGTTGGGGGCTGTTTTAGGGAAAGGATGGGACACATCTGAAATCTGATCGTTGGTTTAATGTGTCTTCTGTTCTTTTTTAGTACAGTATTCTCTTCAAACAAGAGCAAGGTAAGCAGCTTGCCAGTTCAAGCAAATTCACCTGTGAAAAGCTGTTGTCCGTGGTTTAAGGTTTTTGTCATGCTGACCAAACATGCAGTTCCCAACCATACTCACTTTACATAAGAATTGGCAGGGGCAGCTGAAAACAAATACACTTCAGAACAAACAACCACCAACAAAAAAACCAACCACTAACTTAAGGAGCAGGAGTCAAATGATAGACTGGAGAGCTCTGGGCTGAGGAAAATTTTTCCCACTTGAGGAAAGTGTGACTGAGCTTCCCGGCTATCAGAGTGAAAGAAGGAAACTCTTTGAGTCTCAGGACTCTGTTAATACCAGCTCACCTGGGGAGGAACGCCTGGCCATGAACGCAGAAGTTCTCTTGGGAGCCTTTATTTAGGCTCCTCCACTTAAAACAAGTGTAGCAATTCTCACAGAGGGCCTTTGACCCTCAATAAAAGAGGAGGATAAAATAAGTGAATTTCTGTCAAGTCCACTGAGTATATGAGTGGCCGTGGTAGTGGTGGGGATGGGAGAAGGAGGGAGATCAGTCTGTCTGGAAAGGTAACTGGCCAGTGATAGTGGACTTCATACCTGGAAAGGAGGGTGTGCATGGACTATTCACATGTGTCTCATTTCTTCACCACAGCCTAGATAAGTTACGTAAAACCTGGAGAAATTTGTGGAATGCCTAGTAAAGCTCTTCCACTTTAAGTAGTGACATTTAGGTAGTCTGAAGTTTAAACCCAAAGCATTCTTTCAAGTTAGCGAGCATAGGTAACTAGTCAGCTTGTCAGTCAGCTACCTTGTATGCACCTAATGCATCTGGTGGCAAGCTGGCAGACTTGGGTCAGGTGGGGATTGTAATGGAAGCCCAGATGCTATATGTAACTCGCAGCTGTTTTAGTTGAATGTCCTTGTATTCATGTCTTGAAAAGGTGTCCCTGAAGAACTGCTGCCAGGTGTGAAGAAAACCTTCTTGTGCATTTGTTACATTTATATTCCTATCCCAGGTCTGCAGACCCGTCTGTGTGGCCCACCAGAGATACAGCTTACAGACTTAGAATTTAAAGTGGACTTTAGTTAATAGGGAGGTTAGGTTTTTAGGTTTGCATACCAGCTCTGCCTCTTCATAGCTTTTGACTTTGGGTGAGCTACTAGGCTTCTCTAAGCCTCTGATTTTTATCTGTAGCATGAAGATGCTATTCATAGGGATGTTGTGGTTAATTGAAGTAATCCCTACAAAAGGATTAAGGTATTAACTGGCCCATTAAGCATAATAGACTTGTGGCAAAAGGCAAATCATGTGGCACCTATTTTATTTATTTATTTTTGGACCTGTATTTATTTACAGTTGACCTGCCTACTGGTTTCCAAAGATCTCTAAGAAATAACTCTTAACAGGTTTGATCTCTTTTGGGGGGCGGGTTTCGCTTTAGCCAAGTGAGAGCTATTCCAAACTAATGCGTGTCAGACAGCATACTAAAGTAGAAAGGACACTGGACTATTCCAGTACTGCTCCCCCACCTGGTAAACCTGTGTTTGGGGCAAGTGACTTCTTCAGAACCTCTGGTTTTCTTATCTGCCTCCACTGTTCTAATAAAAGCTGTGTGGGAAAGCCATCTGCAAAACAGTAAGGCAGATACAGGTGGATATTACCTCAGAATTGGTGTAACAGTGTTTCTGCTTTATCTTAGCACATTCAGTTTAGACTTTGCATGAAGACTTTATATGAATGACTTTCTGTTCCAGCCCATGATGATGCCATCTGGTCAGTTGCTTGGGGGTCAAACAAGAAAGAAAACTCTGAGACAGTGGTCACGGGATCCCTGGATGACTTGGTGAAGGTCTGGAAATGGTGAGCGCTCTTTCCTCTACAGTACAGCCTTGGAAATTGGGGTTTTTCTTCTGAGCTCCCAAGTTGCAATCAGAGAGGTACTGACTAATTATCTAAGCAAGAAAGCAATGGCGATATGGTGGTATAAAAAGGCAGACTCTTTTTTTTCTCACTTGTTTTCCTGTTATTCACTGTTAACGCCTTATAGTTGAAAGAAAAAAAATGCTATGGTTAAAAGTTGGCTGTATTTGGTGTTCTGTGGCTCTTCATTTTCGCTGTTGAGTCTGCATTTCACAGACCTCTGGTAATGCATAGTTACAGGAGCCCCAAATTTCAGATGCCAGGTACCATGTGTTGTGTGTGAAGAAATCCATTTCTCTGTCCCCCATTGAAGGCGTGATGAGAAGCTGGACCTACAGTGGAGTCTGGAGGGCCATCAGCTGGGTGTGGTGTCTGTGGACATCAGCCACACCCTGCCCATTGCTGCATCCAGTTCTCTTGATGCTCATATTCGTCTCTGGGACTTGGAAAACGGCAAACAGATAAAGTCTATAGATGCAGGACCTGGTAAGAGTTTTACTCTTAGAGAAGATACTAGAGGTTTACGATCCCTTTCTGATACCTTTAGGGAGAGATGTATTTTAGTGTTTAGAAGCTTTTGGATTTGAGATTGGTAATATGGGTGTATGAACTGCATGTCATGTAATACCTTCAGTGGGACTGGGATAGCACTCTAATCAAATACTAGTATCTCAGCAACTAAACATGAGTATTTACATTAGGAGATAAAGATAAGCTATAAATAGCCTTATATCAGTTCCAGTTTTATTGCCAAGTGAATTTGGGTACTAAAATTATTTCTAAAAACTCATAGTTTTCATCGCCTTTGGGTTTCAAATTGCTGACTCGGGATTGTGGACCTGTGTTTGAATGGTCCTCAGGTTCACTGTTTGCCACATTCTGAGTTGATCCACTCGCTGCCTTATAGAGGTCTAGAATGTAAAGCACTGTGTCCTCCTAGATCTGTGTCATGGTAATCGCAACTAATTATGATTAAAGTGCCAATTTCTAGTATATGATTGATACATGAAACGTCTAAAGAAACAGATTGATTTTTTTAAAGTTCTGTAGGACAGCATAGTCTTGTCCATTAGCTTTGATAAACATCTGAAATAATGGGAACTAATAATTTCATTGGGACAAACAACGTGGCATTTCGGATTCCTTATGACCCTGTATTTACTTGTATATGACCATGTAGCTTTCATGAGCAGAGCCTGTTCTGCCAGAATGGGTGATGACTGGAAGAGAGTACAGAGAGCCTGGTGCCTCCCTGGCACAGCCCTCCATGGAGTGATTACAGAACTGCTCATGGCTTTTCTTAACATAATTCCCTGGATTGGAGCCCCAGTAGATTTGCTTCCCACCAGTTATGTTCAGGAGCATCCTATAGGTTGTACTTATTTTGGAAAGAATGATGGTCCCAGGGTTTTAAGGACTCTGTGTTGTCTGAAAACTGAGTTCATTTCCCCTCAGTGCCAGTATTCAATATCTCTGAGTCTTAACTGTTGGAGCTTTTTAAGGAATACATATGTTGTTGTTGTTCAGTTGCTCAGTCGTGTCTGACTCTTTGTGACCTCATGGACAAGCATGCCAGGCTTCCGTGTCCTTCACTATCTCCCGGAGTTTGCTCAGACTCATGTCCATTGAATACATATGTCCAGTTCCTATTTTGGATCCACTGAATCAGTTTTGGGGTGTGTGGGCCAGGATATGTATTTGAAAAAAGTCACCCAAACATTCTGACTCCCCAGATAATTGTTTTTGCATGTGTCCTTGCCATATTGTTATCTCTTATGGAGAACCTGGGTCCCCAAACTAGTGCACAAAGTCTGTGAAGCTGAGAAGAGGAGGAAGAGGTGGATCTGTTGCTGCCTCTTCATCTTGGGCACTTAAACCCTCCCATGACGCTAAGGTCACTGTGTGGCTTTGTAGCCCCAGGCACACCACAGTTGAAGAAATGAGTGCTGGATTGGTTCTAAGGAAAAGGATGAAATTTGTATCCAGCTTGCCTTTCCTGACAAATAGTATCTTAAACTACATATTGGTTCCAGTTGTGGCAAGTGATCATTGAAAGATTACTGTTAGGAAAGAAAAAAAATACTGAGATGAATATAAGGTTGGATTTATTTTCTTTTTTGAATAGGAATCTTCATAAAACTATACCAGACTGTTAAACAACAGTTATTTGAGTAAATAATAAAATCAAACATTGCTATTGACAACTAAGGAGCAGCTCAGTTGAATTCACCTAAAGGTAAAACTAGTAAATCTAGGTCAAATGAGTTTAGGCAAATGGACATTTACATTATACCAGTCTTGAAAATATGCCTGGAGAATGTGAAAGGAGGAACAGAAGGAGGAGGAAAGAGAAAGATCTCAGATCCTGAAGAAGAAAGTGAAGAAGTAGAAGGAAGGGAAGATGACGGAGAAGGTCCTTCATTTGATACCTCACCCAGTCTGTGGCTACAGCAACCTGATGTCAAAGATGTCGAAGAAGAAAGTGGAAGCATAAGGGCATCTCAACACCAGATGGTTCAGGATGTCCCAGTGTAAAGAAGAGTTACTCTTTTCACTGATGAAGTGGAACTTAGTGATGAAAATAAATATTATGCAAATGTTAAAGTATTAGAGTGCAAGGTTAAATTGAGGAATAAAAGTTCCTTCAATTTCTAGGAAAAGGACATTCATCACTATAAGTTTTATATTATTAAACAGCTAATAAAGGAAATGTAAAAGTAATTCCAAAGTGATTTTATTAAACTTCAAGGAATCATAATCAGATTTTCTAATAACCATTAGTCCTGTAAACAACTAATTATAATAGGAATAAGAGAACATAATCCTGCTATAATAAATGGCATAGTCATTAGATAGACACTAAAAAGCAGTCTTGTGAGAGATTGATTATAATAAAAGCTTTTTTAGATCTTCTTGGTTGATTGAGCACTTTTGAAGTTAATTTCCTGTTTGAAACAAGGATTTCTTAACTGATAGAGGTAAATTAATTACTACTTTGAGTATGTGTGTTCAGATTTGCAAGAGATTTTTACTTTAAAACTCACTCTGGTATATGGTACTGACTCATCTGTGATGGGAGCCCCTATCTGCCATGAGTCAAGTTCAGGGAGACCTCTCTCCTGTGGGCTGAGAAGGGCTTGACCTCTTTGAGCCCTGCCCTCGGAGTAAGGAGAGTGACTTGGGAAGGAGCCTGTCTTCTCCCTTTCATCTGACAAGCACTATTTCTGGGCAGGTACAGGAAGGGCAGGACTTAGGAAATGTTCCCATGCAAGACTGGGCATGGGCACAGGGACCTTGACCAGCACTGGACAACTGGACTATTCCTTGATCTCTAGGCTCTGACCCCAAGGCTCCTAAAGCTCTTTGAGATTGCCTGTGAAGAGTTTCCCACATAACTGAGAAAAGAAATGCTGAAATATCATCAGTGGTCCAGATGGAAGTATAAAGCACATGAGCTTACCCAGGCTGCCCATGAGTCTGGAGGCCTTTACACAGAAGCACTGTAATAAAGAAATAGCGTCTGAATAGAACCTTTGAAATCAGATTGTGTGATATAACTTAAAAACTAGTTGATTAAACAAAAAAAGCCTCTTTCCAGTCCTTATTCTCTTGCTAGTTTGTGATAAATACTTTGTCATATTATAGTTTTATATAAAAATCTTTTTGGTACCTCTTCATTTATTTGCAGCTTATTGAGGTAGACTTTCACCTCTATAATTACACTCTGAAATTAACCCATTATACAGTTTAACAAGTTTTAGTAAGTTTCCACAGTTGTGTAGCCATCACTCCAATTCAGTTTTAGAACACTTCCATGTCCCCCAGATGTTCCCTCACGCCCATTTAGAGTTAACCTCTGCTCCCACCCTCAGCCTCAGACAACCACTGATGCGCTTTCTGTCTCTATAGTTTTGCCGTTTTGAAAGATTTCACATAAGTGAAATTGTATTGTCTTACATATCTTTCTTTAGCATAATGTTTTTGAGGTTTATCCGTGTTGTAATATGTATCAGCAGTCTGTTCTTTTTTATTGCTTAGTAGTAAGTATTCCGTTATAGGGATATTCCACATTTTGTTCACTCATTCATCAATTGATGGATATTTGGATTCTCTCCAGTTTTTGAGTATATTTAATAATGCTGCTGTGAGCATCCAGGTTCAGTTCTGTTCATGAAGATGTGTTTCCATTTCTCTAGAAGTGGAATTGCTAGGTATTATGGTGTGTGTTTTCACTTACGCTGTCAAAACTGTTTTTCAAAGTAGCTATACCGTTTTATATTCCCTCCAGTGTATGAGGATTTTGGTTTCACTACACCCTTGCTAACACTTGGTATTGTCCTGTCTGTCTACATTTTTAGTGAAAAGTTGAGAAACCCTTAAATTAAATTGGCATAGAATTAATATCTTTATAGCATATTAATGTTGGGCGTATTAATGTTGGGCTTCTGACTGAAGCACCTGAACAGTGCAGCTCAGTGACTTAACAGCCATTAAAGATGACATAGTTCATGGAAACCTGTATGAGGAGATAGGAGACAGTGATTCTCCAGCTTAACAAGAGTCTTTGTGAATTTCAGGTCATGCTATGCCCATATTAATACAATTAATATCTTTACAGTGTCCTATTCTGAATCAGGACACTATTCCTCCAATTTTAAAACATGTATCTTTTGGTAAAGCTTGAAAATTTTTAAAATTAAGGTCAGATCTTTTCTCACTATAGTTTTTCCTTTTTTTCTGTTCAGTGGATGCCTGGACTTTGGCCTTTTCTCCTGATTCTCAGTATCTGGCCACAGGAACTCACGTGGGAAAAGTGAACATTTTTGGTGTGGAAAGTGGGAAAAAGGAGTATTCTTTGGACACAAGAGGAAAATTCATTCTTAGTATTGCATATGTAAGGAAATATTGTTTTGTTTCTGTCTGATTCTTTGAGTTTACTCTTCTAGCCTGTTGTATTCCTTGATAAACATTCTGCATTGGTCTCACTAGGAAGCTGCTGGCTGGATTTGCCCACCAGCCAGTTAGACCTGGAACCAGCAGATTACTTGTGTTTGAGGGGAGATGGCTTAACAACATGGGCGTTTCAAATGATTTTCGTATGTTCTCTACAGAGTCCTGATGGGAAATACCTGGCCAGTGGAGCCATAGATGGAATCATCAATATTTTTGATATTGCAACTGGAAAACTTCTGCATACGCTGGAAGGTGTGGTTCATCGTTTTGTGCAAACTGGGGTTATCAGATCACACAGGAAGACTTACTCTTTCATTAAAATGCTACTAAATGGCAAATGAGCCTTAGATTTGCAAAATACCACTCTCAGTTGGAAGTCCGAAATGCCTCTAAAGTTCACTTTTGTCCCTGTGCTACTGCTAAGTCGCTTCAGTCGTGTCCGACTCTGTGTGACCCCATGGACAGCAGCCCACCAGGCTCCCCCATCCCTGGGGTTCTCCAGGCAAGAACACTGGAGTGGGTTGCCATTTCCTCCTCCAATGCATGAAAGTGAAAAGTGAAAGTGAAGTTGCTCAGTCATGTCTGACTCCTAGCGACCCCATGGACTGCAGCCTACCAGGCTCCTCCGTCCATGGGATTTTCCAGGCAAGAGTACTGGAGTGGGGTGCCATTGCCTTCTCCATTTGTCAACTGTAGTTGTAACCTAGACATATTAGTTTTTGTACCAGTGTTTTAAATGCTTATTTTGGTGAACAGGCTTACTTTTTATTTATGTGTTAATATATCCTAGCTACATGAGTATCTTATTTCTGTCGTGTTTGGCTCTAAAGAACTTTGTGATTGGAAAACAGCCCCTTTTTGTCAATAGTTTGAAGGTAAATGAAAGTTCTGTGCCCACTCTGCACTGGTGACCTCTGGACAGGAGGATGGGGTACTAGGACAGGGAAAGTGTTGGAGGGAGACCTCTTCAGTGCATCCTTTACCCTACAACAAAGGATTTGGTAGGGAACTGGCATCCTATTTGTTCAACATACAATCAGAAACAATACATATTTCCATGTTTGACCATATCTTTAGGGGCAGAGGAGTTTTGTGTAAGCAATGTATCCTGAGGTCCAGTTGATCAGGGAAGGGATCTGAGGAGAAATGGGTCCTGCGTTTTGTGCATGTTTCTAGAGCAATTTAGAAGGGTCCAGTCTGTAGCTCGCCTCTGACTGAAGCACCTGAGCAGTGCAACTCAGTGACTTAACAGCCATTAAAGATGACATAGTTCGTGGAAACCTGTATGAAGAGATAGGAGACAGTGATTCTCCAGCTTAACAAGGGTCTTTGTGAATTTCAGGCCATGCTATGCCCATTCGCTCTTTGACTTTTTCCCCGGATTCACAGCTCCTTGTCACTGCTTCAGATGATGGCTACATCAAGATATATGATGTGTAAGTTACCTGTTGGGATTCAACACTTCTCTTAATATCAATGCCTGTTTTGTCTCTTATCATTAGGAGGAGCCCTAGCAAGTGAGCTGCTCCCTCTTATGTCTAGGAAAGACATGTGTTCAGGTCCTGTCAGACTCTGAGGTCTCCCCAGTCATTCCTCCCCTGTCAGTATCCCTGCTTTGAGCTTAGGATGATATAGAGGAAGACGTGCGTGGGTTACCAATTAGGATCAGCTACTTGCTACTTCTTTTCCAGCATCCTGTCTCTTGTGGGGCACGCTGATTTTAAATTCTTTTGGACAGGTGAGTAGTGTACAGGTGAACAGATGGAGCCTTGGGCTGTAGCTAGCTTGAAGTAATGATGAAAAAATTAGAATATTTGTTTTCCGAGGGTGTGACGTTCTAGAAGGCATTCCTCTGCCCTAGTTAGGGAGTTGTCTGTTTATCAGCCAGCTTACAGCAGGTCTAGATAAGGGAGCTTTTTTGTTGTTGATTTTTGACCGCAGGTATAAAAGTGAGTTAGTAGTTAATCTTCAGTTCACAACTCACTTTGATTGTAAGCCTGTGCATGGGCTCTTTCTCTTTTCCTTTTCCCCTGTATTTCTCAGTCCCCACTCTGCTCCCTGCTGAGGTCTCTCCTGTAAGGTGTTTGACATGTGTCCCTGATTCCTTGACTCAGTACTGCAGTCAGTGTGCCTGGTTTCTGGCTTCCGAATGTGGCATTCGAATCCACTGGGTGCATCCGTCACCCTTCTCTATGCCCCAGCGATGGGTGCCACACCATGACCATCCACGTGTTTGTGACTTTGTGGGCCTGTGAGAGTTTTGCAGGAGTTTAAATTTGGGAGCTTTTGGACATCAGAAAGTTGTCAAATAGACATGGAATTAGAACTGCAGTTTCTGGAGTTAGAGCTGAACGAGCTGTTAGGGTCCGAGAGGAGATGTCTGTCTCAAGTTGTGCTTGCTTGTCAACAGCAGGGCCAGTATAAATACTAGCAATTTCTTAAGTGTTCAGCTCTCTTTAATGAGGCTTTCACTGTTACAGTTTCATCATCTTCCCAACTACCGGTGAGGAAGCACAGGTTAAGGTCCCAATCATATTGCAGGCGAGGAACCCAGGCTGAGGTGGTGGTTTGGCCAAGGTGCTGATACTGAATGAACACCTGGGACTTTTACCTTCTCATGGTCCCCCAGCTTTCTACTGAGGCCACCTCTCCTCTTAACTGGGGTCTGCTCTACTCTGCTGGCTTCAGGGGTGAAACTGCTGACCTTAGTCAGGTCTTAGCATTGTTTTCCTGCCATAGGTGATTTGATTTCACTTTTTTAAAAAGGGAAAGTGACTATAGTCTTTAGACTGTCTTATTCTTGGTTAAGTTAAAAATGGTCTGTCCAAGTCACACCTGTTGTACAGAATACATTTTGATACCTTTCTTAGACACAGGCACTGTCTCCACATGGGAAGGACGCTAGGTGGGCAGGGGTCAGAACCTGCAGCTACTCTGAGATGGCTATTTGCCTGCTGGTTCTGTTTTCTCATCTTAGGAATTGGCTCGCTGAGCCTTCTTTATTTTGAACTTCTAAGCTCTGCTTGTTTCAGTTCAGTTGCTCAGTCGTGTCCGACTCTTTGCGACCCCATGAACTGCAGCATGCCAGGCCTCCCTGTCCATCACCAACTCCCGGAGTTTACTCAAACTCATGCCCATCAAGTCGGTGATGCCATCCAGCCATCTCATCCTCTGTTGTCCCCTTCTTCTCCTGCCCTCAATCCCTCCCAGCATCAGAGTCTTTTCCAATGAGTCAACTCTTCACATGAGGTGTCCAAAGTATTGGAGTTTCAGCTTCAGCATCAGTCCTTCAATGAACACCCAGGACTGATCTCCTTCAGGATGGACTGGTTGGATCTCCTTGCAGTCCAAGGGACTCTCAAGAGTCTTCTCCAACAACATAGTTCAAAAGCATCAATTTTTCAGTGCTCAGCTTTCTTCACAGTCCAACTCTCGCATCCATACATGACCACTGGAAAAACCATAGCCTTGACCTGCTTGTTTAGGATCCTATTTTTGGCTCTTGGAGGCTCTGACGTATTTGGGGTTAATGCTATTGAAGATTTTGTTTCTGCAGTATGTGATGCTACTTCAGTGAGAAGAGAATTTCTATGTTAATACTGTCATTTTAAGGATAGCAGATTTGGTCCAATTAAATGGACACAGTACACCTGTCATTTAGTGATTATATTCCAAAAGTTAACATCTCCATTTTATTTGAAACTTTCCCATTTCAGACAACATGCCAACTTGGCTGGCACATTGAGTGGCCACGCATCCTGGGTGCTGAACGTTGCATTTTGTCCTGATGACACACACTTTGTTTCCAGGTACTTATGACTTATCAGTTCCTAAAATGTTAGGAAGATAAAGATGGTCGTCTTGTATGAATTGCCTTAAAATTTGAAGATGGTGTGACCCTTTTCTTATTCAGGTAGCCTTTGTTTTCTGCAGTGTTTTTTAAATTGTCAGATTAATTGTTCTTAGCTGAAACAAAGATGGATTTTTTTGAGCAACTCAGTTCTTATTTCTTCCTTATAAATCTAGGCCTCTACCTACAGTAGGTAGGTATCCTTTATAAGGATACCTGTATTCCGATAGTAACTATAGATATGCAAATCTGTAAAATGTTATGCTTTGAGACCCCAGTGTTGTTTAGCCCCAGGATGGCCAAGACAGTTGAAAAACAGGAGATGGATGGCTTAATAGCACTGCACAGAGGTTTCTGGAAGACTCTTGACAGCCTTTATTTTGAAGCTTTAACCAGTCTCCCTCCCATCCAGAGGGAGCCTCTCATCCAAGACTCCTGACAAGAATATTTAATACGAGGGCCAAGCAGATCAGAAGTTTGGGGAGATAGCTGCTCTGTGAGTGGGGAAAGCCAGCCAGTTGCACCAACATTCTTGACCACCTTTTGGGGACCAGGTCAGCTGCTTATGCACACACGCACCAAGGGGGCCTCTAGGTAGGCTGAGTCAAGGAGTGTGGAATTATTGGTCAGATTCTTTCCAACTTCACACCAGTCTGAAAACTTTTCTGATACTGATGTTTCCTTTTTTAAAATAGTTCATCTGACAAAAGTGTTAAAGTTTGGGATGCTGGAACGAGGACTTGTGTTCACACCTTCTTTGATCACCAGGATCAGGTATGGCATAATTAACATTTAAATTCCTATGTCTTTGGATTGCTAGCATTGTCTGACTGCTATGCCAAAACTCATTCATTTTCCTAACCTTGCTGCTCAGGTTGTCAAGATCAGATGAGCCTCAGAGCTGAGGTGCTCTGATTGCTTGGATGTCTATCCAGCCAATGTTCCAGTGGACACTCTGGGGTACAGAGGCTAGGAGTGTGTTGTCAGCCTGGAAACCCACAAGGCATGATATGTCTACCCATGATATGGGTAGACTGGAAAACTTGCATTAGCTGCACAGCCTTTAAATGACTTCTTTGAAACATGTTGCAGCAATGCCTAGGCCATGCCTGGGCCTTTTTCTGGATACAGCTGGGCCATGGCTGTCTCAGGAAGGACCTGCTTCCTCAGAAGCTTCCGTTCCATCCCACAGGCATCACTTTCTCTTTTGGAGCTGCCCAAAGAAGTGATGTGATTTTTTTTTTTCTTTGAATATACTTGAAGCCGGAAATTGTTAATAGGTTGTTTGACTTTAAAGATATTGCTAAGTTTTATTTCAGCCTTTAAATTAGGAAAAAGAGGCTGTGTTCCCACAGGAGTCTTCCTGTGAGATGAATGTGAAATGTTAAGGCATTCTAGGGCAGGGCTTCTTCTCAGTTTTTAATGTACCCTGGGGATCTGGTAACAATACAGATTCAGTGGGTCTGGCCTGCGCCTGAGTTTTTGTCCCAACCTTCAGGTGAGACTAGCACTGCTAGTTCCAACAACTTTGAATAGCAAGGGTCTTGGGGAAGCAGTATAAAAAATAAAATGCCCATGGCAGTATAAAGTCATCTTTTATTAATTATGTATTTTGTATGTTCTTAGGGTCATCTCATAGAATCTCTTTGGAATGCATTTTAAAGTTAACAAATGTTCATGCTTTTTTACACTTAATTTTACATTGTTGCCCATGAAGTTGAGAGGATTTAATTTTGACATTCCACTCCGGGATTTAAATATTGTACTCAGGAAGGAAGTCCAGGCTGGCTGTGTTGCTTTGTGTGAGAGAGTCAGTGTGTGCTGCGGTCCTCAGAGGAAGACATTTGGGGTGGAAATAAAGCCATCACCTGGCCTGCTCATAGCACTGAAGTCGGAGCTGGAACACCCACCTCAGGGATAGAGTGACAGGCTTGACCTGATGAATCTCCTACCATATCAGTTCTGTCTGGGAAGGAGGTGTGAATCTGTTAATTCAACATGTAGCAAATGAAATCAATGACATGCAATACCAAGTTATCTAGCTCCTGGGGACAGGCAGGTTTCATAGGCCTCTAATAAGAGAGTGAGAATTACTGACGTAAGTTGTGGGCACAAGCAGGTGGACGAGGAGCACAGTTTGCTGTTATCCCCGTAGGCGGTGAGCTCAGGGTAGCTGTGGGGCATTTTCCTTCCCGGAGACCGGAGAACCCATGCTGGTCCCTTGTGGGTTCCATCTTCACAATAGGTCACTTCCTCAATTGTGATTGAAAGGTTTGTAAATACCTTGATTTATGTTTAGAAATGAATTATCTGGAGTTGGGAGTGATGATAATTAAACAATAGTAATAGAAGCTGCCTGATTAAAGGAAAAACCCCATTCTCACTGTTGAGAAAGCATGGAAATATCCTCATATCAGTGTTTTTCTGGATTCAGTATAATGAGAGTAGGGTAAGGGTAAGGTATTCATAAAGAATAAAGGTTTAGTAGAACTTTTTCTCTTTATTTACAGGTCTGGGGAGTAAAATACAATGGAAATGGCTCAAAAATTGTGTCTGTTGGAGATGACCAGGAAATTCACATCTATGATTGTCCCATTTAAACATCAACATCTTCCAGGCTAATGCTGCAGAGAGAATGTATAGATTGATCATGACATTCCTTACCTTTCTAGCTTGTTAATATAGCATTTATTAAAAGGTTTATCAAAAACTTAAATTTTGTAGATACATGTAAATCTTTTCATGTTTTATTGGAAATGCCATTCATACTTTAACATAAAGTATTCTTAATGCAAACACTCATGTTCTTCAACATGCTTCTTTCTCATTTGCCCTGTTACTGATAGAACAGTAAGAGGAGTTGTCATCTTACTGGAGTTGACTGAGTATTGCCTCAGGAATGAGGACATCCAGGCACGTACTAAACTTTCCAGTATAGAGATTTAGGCTCACTCTTCCAGGGGATGAGCCATGCAGAGGCTGTGATAGGAAGCTAATCTATTTTAGAATGTGATCCTGAAAGAAACAGGTTATTTGACTGGGTGGGAACATTCTTTAGTCCTTTCTGAGCATTCTTCTATTTGGTAGATGAAAAATGCCCTGTGCCACACTCTTTTTCACCCTGTTAACTTTAGAGAAGCCTGCAACTTGCGGTGAGTATTGCTGCCTTAATACTGTTTGTAGGCTCAAGCCTGTATCTACTCTGGTTGACCTCCAGCCCTCCCTCAGTTATCCCAGAGCTCCTATACCTGTTTTCTCAGTGGCCCACTTGAGACATGGTCTGCATGTAACAGGAAAGGTGTAAGTAGCTAACACTCCAAAGTTTGTTGCTTTTTACTGATCATAATAACTTCATATGCTTCATGTCAGGTCCCATGCTTTTCCTCCAGACTCCCCATAACCCTTAAATCAAGCCCATCCTCTCTTTCCTCTTCTGCCTCTGCCTTGTTCACCCTCCTATAGCTGAAGCAGGAGGTAGACGGGCACCCTACCAGAGTAAAGCAATTGGAAATTCATTCCCTGTGGACCGAAACTCCCAAGACAAGAAGAGCAGGATAATTAAGGGAGGAAGCTGGGCCCTGGTCATACCGCATAGTTCTCATTCTCAAAGTCAGGAGACCTCCCTGACCACACACGCACAGAAAGGCTCCTTGGAGGTCAAAGGGGAGTGATGCCAAGGGATGTTGTACCCATAGGCCTCTTCAGTAGAATCCATCTTGACTAAGAGATGTGTGCACACACATAGGAAGATCCTGAGATACACCAAATATGGACTGTGAACTGGGCAAATCTAAATGACTGGCCAAAGGAAACCCAGAAAAAAAATGCCCTTTAAAAGGCATTCAGACTGTCAGGAGAGTGCAACTCAGGGACTCTTCTCGGAGTATGCCCATGTATCTATCTACACATGCTATACTTCCCCGCCCACCCCCACACACACACTTTTTACTTGCTTTACTGCTTTTTGTCTTTGTGTAAATTCTTTTCTGCAAAGCCAAAGGGCCAGGGCCCCTTTCCCTGACCTCTGGGCCAGTGGTTAGGATTCGGTGCTCTCCCTGCCATGACCCGACCTCAATCTCTGGGAACCCAAGCCCCGCTTTTAAGATGCTGCAGCCTGAGGCCACCCGAGATCATAGCCACATAGCCCTGGCCATTCCCTCTGCCTTCCTCAGATGTTCCTTCCTGACTTTCAGAGGTCTCATTGCTTTCAGGTTGTTCTCAGGTGTCTGCTCCCAGTAAGAGGCCTTCCCCTGGTCCCTTTCCCATTATTCTCATTTGTCACTGCAGTCATCATTGCCTGATGTATTTATCCCCACCCCAAATATAAGCTCCTGAGCAGAAACTTCATTCCATTTTATCAACCAATATGAGACAAACTGGCACCTTAGCACTGGTCATTGGAAATAAAACTAAGTAAAGAAAAACAAAACCATCTGTCTCATACCAGCTCAGTTTTAATTTTAAAGTGACAAATGTACAGGTGGAATAAATTTTAAGCAACACCCTCCAGATCCCATTTACATGACAAGGAGCTTAATGCAATTTTGCCTTATCATCAACTACAGTAGTTTTCTGGCAATAATTCTTTAGGAAGTCACAGCACAGAAACAGAACACCCTGGAGTTGTGGTCCACTTGTAAACTGATTTTCATACAGGCTTAGCTGGAAGAATAGATTTTCCTTCTTTCCTGACTAATGGTCAAAGTGGGGCAGGCAGACTCCTTCTGTACCTATCTTGAGTAAATTATGCCCACCCACCAGCCAGCAGTGTTCTGCTAGAGTCTGGTCCACCCGCTGAACCTGCTGCCGTGGGTCTGATCTGCCCTTCGGGCCTCCTGGGGAGGTCCCCGGTCTGAGTCAGACTTGCAGGCACTGTATGACCAAGTAAGGGTGGATCTGAAAAGTGGCCTCTGCTTTAACCCAGCAGCTGAGAAGGCAGCAGTTTTTCTTTGTGACTGTTACGGGAAGGAAAGGAACAGTAATGGCTGAAGGTTGAGGAATCTAAATTTATATTGTAGTCTACTTTCCAGGAGTAAACAAGTAATTAATATCTTTCCGAACAAGTTATCATTTACAGTGGTAGTCCATACAGACTGCGGTCCAGAGTAGAACTTTTAAGTTCTCTCTAAAACTTTATCCCTTGAGCAGGAAGCCCTTTGTGATATGGCTGTGCAAGGAGATGAACCATCCATCCTTTGGAAGGGAGCTGAATCTGGGAGAATGAGGTGGAAAACACTGAGATGTCCCCTGCCTTCCCAGAGCCTCAAGTCATCCAGGATCACTGGTCAGGCAGGGAAACTGGCTGTGCCACGGGGCTGAGCCACCAGCATCTCCTGCGGCTTCTGTCGTTGCACTAAGGCTGCTGGGGATGTGGATGGTTTCCTTTTCTTTACAAGTAAGCACTTTGGTGGGACAGCACTACAAACGCTGTCAACAGAAAACAACAAAAGGCAAGGTGCAGGGGTTGCAGGCAAATAGTTTTATCAGTGTTTCATTTAAAACACTGGTTTGTCCTCACCACAAGGCTTGGAAGGCTCAGGAAGCTTCCAAGAGAGATGATCAGACCCACCCCACTCCAAACACTCAAGGGCATAAGACAGCAGGAACCAAGTTGGCCCTGCAGCCCACTCAGTGTGAGCCAGGCACTGCAGCCAAATCCAGCCCACAGATGTGCTTTTATTCTTGAGGAGAACCATCTGGAATCTAGATTCAGAATGTCACATTAGCAGCCCTGAGATCATGCCCTCTATAACTCTGCCTTGGGAGGCAGGTGCAGAGGGGAAGAAACTGCAGAGCTGGACATGGGCCAGGTCACCCACTTTGAGCCTGGAGGTTTGCTCAGGGGCTGAGTGCTACTGTCTGCGCTGTGCTTTATTGGTGGAACTGAATTATGGCAAAGCCACTAGAAGCACAAAGTGTCAGTGCGTTCACTGGCATCTCAAAAATATCCTGAAGATGTAAATAAACAGATTCCATATGCAGACTAGAGGTGATTTACACTTAAAACATTTAAATATAAATTAAGCCATAACTTAAGTTACAACCAAAAGAAAAACAAAAGAAAAGCCAAAAGACACTCAGCAGTTGAGAATGCTGAACACATACACAGGACACCCCAAACACGAGGCCATTTAAAGCGATGCCATTTTTCATTGTGCCAACTTTACATTCATGATGTGCTAGTCCCGCCAGGCCACGCTGCACGGGGCCGCGTCATGCCGTCTGGCACTGCACTCCGGCCCGCGGCCCGTCATCGTCCTCCTCATAGGCCTCCCTGTGCTGGCGCCAGTTCTGCTCGTTGGGATTAAACTCCTTCAGCTCCACCTGATCCATGTCCTCTGTAATCCTGACTTTCTGCCTAGGCGGGAGCAGAGCTTCCAGCTGGGAAAGCTTGTCTTGGGGAAGCCAGTGTTTTTCAGGAAAAATAACCTGTAAAGGGTGAGGTGGGAAAGAGCAGTTGTTTCTTCCCTTCCCTAAGGCATTTAATTCTATGTCCCATGAGAATCTCACACACACACACACACACACACACACACACACACACACACAGGCACTTACTAAAAACTGTATGATCAGAATCCCTTTCTCCAGAGGTGATTTGTAGATTGGCATTCCTTCATTACGCACACATTTCAGGTCCCCGTGCTTTATCACCTCACCTGTCACAAACACACAAAAAAGGTTTACTTATGAAATAGGAAGATGGACAGTGACCTGGAGCCTGGGGCAGGCCGGAGCACCCTCACAGCAGCAGGCTAAGGCAGGGGTCATGGAGCATCTGACTAGAAAGCTGGCCCCAGCCAGAATGGTCCCTGTCAGAGGAACCGGCTGGGCGAAGGGGATGAGAGGGGGGTGGGAGTGGGACCCTCTCTGACCCATGTGCTGGGCTCCTGCAGTGTATCCAAGGAGAAGGGGCTGGAGCCTCCATCATAAAGCAGGTTTTTTTTTGTTTTTTTTTTTTGTTTTTTTTTTAATTTTTATTTTTTTTTTTTTTTTTTTTTTTTTGTTGGAGGCTAATTACTTTACATCATTACAGTAACATGAACTAGGAATCAACACTCAGTTTGGGAAAACAGGGCTATTGTGTTAGCCTGCCTTTTTTTTTTTTTTTCATTTATTTTTATTAGTTGGAGGCTAATTACTTTACATCATTACAGTAACATGAACTAGGAATCAACACTCAGTTTGGGAAAACAGGGCTATTGTGTTAGCCTGCCTTTTCAGATATTACAAATGACTTTCCCATGAGTGGGAAGAGATTCTCCTCCTCACAGACTTGAACAGAGCTTGGAGCAGGAATCAGCCTCGAAGGAGCCCGGCAGGAGAGCCAGCTTCCTGGGCTGGGAGCTCAAAAGGCACAGGGGTCTCCTCACATGCCCGTGGGCCAGAACTGACCCGGCTTGCACTTGCTGGGTCTTACATTTCTACACTTTTTCAGAAGGCATCATGGGAGTTCAGCACCCCCAGAGCACTTGGTTTACCCCCAAATCTAAAAATATTTTTTCCTTCCAAATATGAAGAGAGATAAAAGGGTTTCTTTAAAAAAAAAAAAAAAAAGGATGCTTTTCAGCTCAGTAATGAAAATGGGTAAAGAAATAAATACTCAGGAAAAATATGAAACGGGGGAAGCAGTGCAAACACTCATTTAGTCAGCACCCTACTCCCCTGGATGAACACTCTCCAGAGGAAATCTTTCAAAGTATCTCATGGGAATTTTTCAAAATAAAGCGTGTGGAGGACTCTCTCCTTGAGGGTCATTCAGCACAGGGCTGTGGCTCACAGGGCCCTTAGAGCTG